CAGCGGCAAAAGCGCTTGCCTGGCAAGCGCAAGGTCGTGAGTTCGGTTCCTGGTACCGGAGAAAAACCAAAAAAAAAAAAAAAAAAAAAAAAGAAAGAAAGAGTTTGAGAAGTAGTGCTATTAGTTCTTCTCTAAATTTCTTTTAGAATTAAGCAGTGAATCCATCAGGGCCTGCACTCTTTTGTTGATAGGTTTTTATTGCCATCTTCAATTTTATTGGTTAATATTGGTTTATTTAGGATTTTCATATCTTCTTGATTCAGCTTTGGTAATTCATATGTATCTAGAAATCTGTCCATTTCTTCAGCATTTTTCATTTTATTAAAATACAAGTTCTCAAGGTAGGTATAGATAATCTGGATTTCTGCTGGGTACGCTGTGATTTTACCCTTTTAATTCCTAATTGTGTGTATTTTAGTCTTTCCTTTTTTGATAAGGTTGGCTAAGAGTTTGTTGATTGTATTTAATATTTCAAAGAATAAACTCTTTGATTCATTGATTATTTATATTGTTTCCTTAGTCTCCAATGCATTAACTACCGCTCTGAATTTTATAATTTCCTCCCACATATGAACTTTGGGCTTGGCCTACTCTTCTTTTTCTAGAAGTTTGAGGTTCAACATTAAGGTTTTTTTTTGTGCTTTCTCTCTTTACCTGATATGGGTATTCACTGCTATAAATTTCCCTCTCAAGACTGTGTTTATTGTGTCCCATAAGTTCTGGTATGCAGTATTATCATTACATTTAATTATAGAAACTGTCTAATTTCTTGTTTAATTTCATCTGTGATCCACTGGTTGTTCATGAGGGTGTTATTTAATTTCCATGTGTTTATGAAGTTGTTGTGGTTTCTTTTGTCATTAGTTTCCAATTTCATAGCAATATGGTCTGATAATATGCATGGAATCATTTCAATTTCATTGCATTTACTTAAGCATATTAAAAGAGCTAGTATGTGATGTCTTTTGAAGAATTCCAGTATCCATCTGAGAAGAATGTGTATTCTGATGTTGTGTGTTGGAACATTCTGTAGACATCTCCGAAGTCATTTGATCAAAAGTTGGTTCAGTTCTGATATTTCATTGCTGATTTTTTGTCTAATTGATCTGTCTTTTTGTGACAGTGGGATATTGAGAACCCCCAATGCAATTATATTAGTGCTTATTTGATTTTTCATGTCTGCTAATATTTGCTTTATATATTTGGGTACACTGGTATTTGTTGCATGTATATTCATGCTTGCTCTCTCTTCCTCTTGGATTGTTCCCTTTTCAAGGATGTAGTGATCTTCTTTGTCTCCCTTAATGAGCCTTGTGTTGAATTTCACTTCGTCTGCAAATAGAAAAGTTATCCCTGCTTTTTTCTGGGTTGCTGTCACATAAAGCATTGTATTCCATCCTGTGACTTTCAATCTATAAATTTCTTTTTCAATTAAATGTGTTTTACGTATGTAGCATATTGTTGGATCTTGCTTCTTGATCCATTCCACAGTCTGTATTTTTTGACTGCTGAATTGAGAACATTAACATTGATCATTACAACTGATATATATTTACTTATCCTTGTCATGTTATTTTTCTGTGGTTGGCTCCCCCATTTTTCCCCTTCTGTTTAATTGCTGGCCTTGCTTGGTAGATTCCTTCTGTTGGGATTCATGGAGTTGTAGTCCTTGTTATCTCTTTCTAGAATATCCTTCAGAACCTTTTGGAGTGCTGGTTTGGTGGTCATAAATTTCCTCAGGTCTTCTTTGTCTTGGAAGTATCTTATTTCTCCATCAATTCTGAAAGATAGTTTTGTGTGGTACATCAATCTGGGTTGGAGGTTGTTTTCCTTTAGAGCTTCAAGTAGTTCACTCCAAGTTCTCCTGGACTTGAGGGTTTGTACTGAGAAGTCAGCTGTGATTCTGATGCATCTTCCTTTATAGATGATTATAGTGTTGAAAGCTATTAAGGAAAAGAAACAAATCATCTATAAAGGAAGATGCATCAGAATCACAGCTGACTTCTCAGTACAAACCAGCAGTCTTTCCTGTCCACTGATCCATTCCACTGCTGTGTCTCTCTGTGAAGGCCTCAGATGTTCCCTGTAGTCACTGTGTGTCTGCAGGTTTGAACTGCTCCTCCATGCAATGAGTCCCAACTCAGGGAGAAGACTTCACTAGCTACTTCCTTATTCTTCATTGAAGTTTCTTTCTTTGCTGTCCCCATGGGCTTCAATTTTCACTTCAGATCCTTCCTGTGTCCGAGCGACTCACTTCCCTCTTTCTTGTCTTCCTTGCATTGCTATATTCCAGCATCTGGGTGGCAACTCTCACAGAGGCTCTTTCTCTGTTGCTTACCACTCTGCATCTTCCCAGAAGTCTAGACATTAAGGATATAGATGACCTAAACAAGGAACTTCTAAAGTGGAAAAAGGGAGCTATGATGGGAGAAAAAGAATTTTCCCGAATTAACTTGTTTGCCTTTTGTTTTTGTAATAAGTTAGTCAGAAAAAGGCAGAAGAAATAGTGAATAATGAAATTGTCATCTGCCATTCCAGAAGAAAACTTAGATTTTCATGTCTTAACAATCCTTACGTCTAAGAAGAAAACATTTTTATGCCCTCTCATTGCAAGCACAGGGGTTTAAGTAGTCAAATGAACTTGGCCTGTATTGAAAATGGAGAATAATTTCAGCAGGGTATGGAGAGTAAATTGTCTACCTATAGGAACACAGTGGGGCAGAAGTAAGGTAGGGTGGAAGTAGTGGCACAGTTTTCTCTTTGAAAATTGAATTGTAACTCCCCACTGTAGAAATGCATACAGTAGTCTCAGAGGACTTTTATTTATGTGTGTAAGAATGCTAAGCAAGACACTCAGAAAATTTATTGATTTGTTAAAATAAGTGGCTAAATACACATTGACTTCTGAAGGCAAAATATTTCCAGGTAATTAGAGACACAATCTTTATTATTAAAATGAATATTATCAATTTTAGCTCCAAATAAGCCTCAAGTGCAATTTCCACAGTATTTTAGAAATGAAAACAAAAACATGGTTAAGTTACATGAAATTTCCACTGATGCACCCTTTCAGACCAATGTATCTTACCAAAGTATTTTAATTTTGTTGCTCCTGGGGTAGAGAGCTCTTCTTCATGGAATTACAAGTCAATAAAATTTGCTGCTTAAATGAGTCACAGTAAAAATATACAAGCCATATATACATATATATATATACCTTTTGATATTCTGATTTACTATACGCACCCTAAAATTCATCCATATGCTTTGCTCTCTTTCCTATTCCTTTGTTCATTTAGTTAGTAATCTAATGAACTCTTTTACTCCAATAAGAAAAAGTTTGAATATAGAGTGATTTTTATGTTGTCATTATCTCTGAGACAATATAATAATTTTTTGTATTTTTAAATAAAAAACTTTACACAGGAAATATGAGATTCTTTATCTTGAATTGTACATGACCATAGTTGAGGATGTTTATTTTCTGTATCCTAATTTCATGGAACGTAACAAGTAATAAAGGAGAAGTCACAAAAGAAGATTTCACCAAGGAAAATTTCACCTTTTCCTGTTTAGGTTTTCCCCTGGAAGCTGAGAGAGGAGAGCAGGGGAAAATATGCAGCTACTCCAGAAACTGGAAATCACATTTATGGATATATTTCTTAAAATTTAGTATCTCCAAAAGTGGTGAACAAAATAGTCACTTACCAAGTATAATCTGAAAGGCACTGCTTCAGTAAGCTATACCACTTTTTTTGTATGTGTAAGAGTCACTTTCTTCAAAATATCTTCCCCTCTATTCTGTCTATAATTCTTCCACTAAAATTATTTTGTGCCAATACCTATTTCTAAAGTCTAGAATTTAGATGTCCCTGGGTATGTAATAAGATAATGCTCTTTAACACCTTGGACTGAGAAAGTTGATCAGACTAACTGGAAAGGCAAAGGAATAGGGCAGAGGGCAAAACATATTCATGAAGTGAGGGATGAATACAGTAAATCAGAGTTTCACATACCAACTTAGACAGAAAGACTTGTATAGAAGGAGCACCTTACCTAAGCAGCATAAGAATACTGAACACTTAACTTCTCCCTGAATGATGTAAATAGTCTTCCCAACAATTGCACTCCCCCTTAATCCTCTAAAATGATCAATAATCTTCTGGAAATATTTACTCTCCCCTTTTAAGAAAAGATACATCTGAAGTGAAATCAATATGTAAACAAAGTTACATAACTGACTTTTCAAAGTCACCCTAAGAAGTGTAATTCAAACTAATACAGAGAATAGACAGAATAAAGCATCCAGACATGACTCTCCACTACAAATGTCTACCATTTCACACTGTACAAAATGATTGCTTGCAATCCCAGTACAATATTAAATAATAAAGAAATATAATACCTTTTAAATCAAACAGACAAGGCACAGTTATAGTTAACCTTTTTCAAACAAAATTTAAAACTCATTTAATAAGTCAAAACACATAATTTAAATTGAATAATAAGGAGATATACAGTTATACTGTTGCTAGCAGCACAAAGTCATTTGTCTAATACATCATTATTTTAAAAACAAAGTAGAAGAAAAATCAACACTTGTGAAGATAAAAATACTCAACTCATCTTAACTATTAGAATTCATTGTGATTTTACCAGGATTTCTCCAAAATGTATTAGTATCATAATAGTGTACCTAAAAGTACGCCTTCTTTTAAGTAAAATAAAACACTTGTTTGGTTCCTGCATTTCTTTTGGATGAAAGGTAGAATGTTTCTTCACTATATAGGGCATAGCTTTTAGTAGACCACTTTTTAAAAGTTCTGAGCTTTTTGATAAAGCATGTTTAAAATTACTCTAATACTTAGGACCTCAGGTTGAATTACTAGTCTGATCCCAGTTTTCCTTTGCATACTATTACCGAGCAGGTAGCAGGCAAGGCAGTGTAAGGGATGCCTGTACAGCTGCCACAATAATCTTCACTTTTCTCAAAATGTGAACTAATTGTTTTCCCCTGTTTCTGGAATTTAGGCTGTGAAGTGTTCAGAATGTTATAGCTGGGTCAAAGCTGGATTTTAAAAGACAATCAATACAGACTCTACTGTCAATATGATTGACTGCCTCTAAAGCCTATTTTGGATTGTGTAGATGGCTTTACAGAGGACACCTGTTCTGGAATGAGATGTACAGTGTGGTAATACTTTTAAGAGGTATAGTTCACCTTCTGTCACTTTTTCACTCGACCAAACTCAGTGATTAATTAGTGCACTACTTCTTGCATAGGTTCAGTAAGTGTAGTCAAACAGAATTACTTCAATATCACTTTAAAGACTTAATGAAACTCCCTCTACCTGTCAGATCCATATAACTCCAGAGGTGTCCTCTGAAGATAGATTTATAAAGCCAAGAATTGTTACTATCACCTTTATGGTTTCTCCTCGTCCTAAGGCCACTCGAGTCACTGTGGGTAAAACAGGGCAAACTACCTGCCCTTGAAAGATTGAATGTGGCAGTGGGTTATTGTGTATGAATCTGTGCATTGTTCCTAATTTAAATATAGCAGAGGCTTGAGATCAGACTTTCATTCAGTGACTATGTGTGAATGGTAGTATTTCTTGTTGATACTGAATAAAGGAAATAGCTTCAATCTCTGGAGTGTACCACACAAGAAAAATAAAGATGAACCTAGGTTGCTAACATTTTGTTCACACACAGTAGTCAAATGTCTACCTTACCTGAAATACAATAAAAACATGTTCACATGTGAACTGTGATTTCTACTACAAGTAGAAAACTATACTCCACTTCAGTATAGAGATTCATCATCTGTACTAATCGAACAAAATGTTTATGGTAGTCCTAAGAAAGTAATGTCTTTGTGACTTGGTTTTGCAGATAAAGCTTCTAACTCCAGTTGAGAGCATATGAGTACAGAATATCACTGAAATTTTACATTGTAAATTTTAAGAACATGATAAAATCACTCCATGAACATGTCAATATCAATGATAGTGAAGTAGAATTGCTGCAGTAGGTCCCAATTGTGAAGATGTGACTTCCTCATATAGAGGATAACTGAAAAGCTGTGAATTCTTCCTGTGAGTACTTCCTGTAGTTTGGAGTGTTAGAAATGTGTTCTGATGTATTTTTACTCTCATTCAGGGTTTTGCTGCTGTTGTTGCTGCTTAACACAATTCAGTTGCCACGGTAGAAGTGGTATGATTGCTTTCAAAGGATTTTGCATGTAGTTGGGTGCTATCATGCAAATCTTGTCTTGAAAGACGTCTTCTGAACTCACTAGTAGTAAAATAGTATATGATTGGGTCAAGGCAGGAATTCAGACTAGCAAGACACAGCGCTATAGAATGAAATATTAGAATCACCCTTCTGGCTAGACAGCTTTTAATTTCATTGGACTTGACCAAGAAATCTAAAGGAAAACTGAAGTGATAAGGTGCAAAGCAAATCAGGAATACTCCTGCACAAGTTAGAATCATCTTCAAGGCTTTCTTTTTCTCTCCAAGGTCTTGAGCAACAGGATGTTTACTTTTCAGTGATAAAACTGTCTTCCAGGTACAATATAGGACAATCAGAAGAGGAGTAATAAACCCAATCAACTCACCAACAGTCATCATGGCAACAGACTGGGTCAGATTGACATTCCTGGTAGGAAGATCCACAAAGCATTTGGTTTTGTTGCCTGGTGTGTCATCACTGGTTCTGAGAAGGGGGAAGAGTAGACAGGCAAGGCAGATGATCAGCCAGCCAGCAATACTGATGCACAAATCATATTTCTGTTTGCAGTCATTGAAGCGAAAGGGGTACATGAGAAACCAAAATCGTCGTATGCTAATGCAGACCAAGAAGTAGATGCTTGCATACATGTTGACATATTTTAGGTAGAAACAGAACATGCAGAGGCCATGCCCAAATGGCCAATCATGGTTCAAATAGTAAAAGATTCTCAGGGGCAGGGAGAGAACTTGTAATAAGTCAGCAATGGCTAAGTTTATCATAAATATCACAGCACGTTTGGTTTCTTTCATATAACCATAAAATACCCATAAGGCTAATATGTTCCCTATAAGACCTGGCACAAGAATGACTGTATATGTTGCTGCATAGATAAAATACCGAAAATCTGGGTTATCTCCATCTGTCCTGTTACACGTGTCATTCACAAGCTTGATCCTTTCTAGAGACATTGTTATTGCCTAACAATGATTCAAAATCTACATTAACAATTAACTGCTACTTTTTCTAAAAGACAAATCATCAAAAGGTATAAAGTATAAAATAATCTTTTGCCACATCTGTTACCCTAAATGCCTGATTTGGAGAATTTTTAAAGATTTATCTGCACAGTTGTCTTGGGTTTGTTCACAGTAACTGCATGAAAGTGTAATGTAGAAGGACAGATGAAAAATCCTTATAATTTTCTCCTATTTATTGTAAGGCCTTCTGGAGCTTCATGGTAGTTGGTTCTCTCCGATTTAGATTACGAATGTACTATACAGAAATGCCTCAAGTTTCCATATGATGATAACCATCTCTTTGCTGGCATTTGGCTGGGTATTTTTCTTGTCTTTCTTTTTTCACTCATGTAGAAGAGAGGTATGCTCTAGTGCCTTCTTCCAGGATGTTTAGCTTGGACAGATCAGTTTTTCAGGACTTATTCAGATATGTGTTGAAGGCGAAAAAGTGAAATAAATGCAGAGCTGAAAGTGAAAAAAAAGAAGCCAATTATTGTATGGCACATTTTTGAAAAAGGAAATAGTATATATATATACTATATATATATATATATATATATATATATATATATATATATATATTAGAATTCTCACTAGGTACACACTTTAGTAAGCCATGGAAAAGTAAACCTAATGCTGCAAGGAGTGCCTGCAATTAATATGAGCCTAAAGAGATGTGTGCATATATATGTGAGGCAACTGCATCATTATGAAATGCATTATATATATATATACACACACACATATAGAGTCAATCAAATGGCTATCGTGTGGGTAGTAGTGGAGCAAGTAATGGTCCAAGGCTAAAAATAAACAAATCATGAGAATCTTAATACATAGCATAGTGGCTCTTGTTAACGAATTGTGTTGTTTAGTTGAAATTTGGTAAAAGTGTAGATTTTGTGTTCCCACCTGAAACCCACCTACACATATACACTCACACTCACATATACATATATGCTTCAGTGTTATCTTTTGATGAGACTTTGCTTGTACTTAGTATTTAAAATTGCACTGCTCTTCCAATGCTCTCCAAATCATGTCTGTATTTATTTTTCCATGTCAATCACCAAAAAATATTCTATCCATTTTTATTTATTTATTTTCTATTGTATGACTTTACTTATTAGAATGTAAAATACATGAGGATAGATTCTTGTGTATTATATTTACTTGCTATATACTAGAGCCAAGAACTATGCAAGACAGGAAGTTCTCAATATTTGTGAAATGAAATAACTAGTAAATATGTTAATTGACTGTAAAATTCACTGTATCCCAAATAGCAACCATCATTTCTCCAACTTCAATCAAGATTCTATTTCCCCAGGCAGCCTAGCTCAAGGTTCTGGAGACACGAACTCTTTTTCATTTACTTTCAACTTGTAAATGTGTTCCTGCTGGAAGATACCATATCATCTGAAAAATAATAAATGTTTAGGCACCAACAAGTCCTCTGTTTATTTTTCTTCCTTCATTTAATAACTGTTCCACCTTGAGTACAACATTAAATCCCTCTGCTCTTTAAATTTTTCCTTGGTAAATGAAAATAATCTTACTATCAAATCTATAGAAATAGTGTGAAAATTAACTGTGCTAGTGTATGTAATACACTTAGCATATCATTAGATACATAATATGTTGAATAAACATTAGTTATTATAATTGACGTTACTTTTTCAAGGCAATTATTTTTCACAACTATAAAAATTTTAAATTTGTGTTGTTTCTGCTCTAGTTTAGGCTTTTATTACTTGATTGGGCTCCTTACCCACTGTTTTTCCACTGCATTCTACATGGGTCTGCTATAACTATTTTTTGCTAAGGTTAGTTTTAAAAAATCTTTAATGGCCCTTTATTTTCCACAAATTACAAAGTACCTACTCTGGTAATGGATTCCATAATTCAATACCATCTACTTTTAGAACTTTCTGCCAATAGTCGAATACCATGCCCTGTGCTCCAGCCCAATTGAGCTCCTGCTCTTTAAACTCCTTTTTCTTTGCAAAAACAGTAACTGATCCTTCGCTATCCCAATCTAGAGTATTTTCTTCTCTTTTGCCCAACAGTCCTATAGATTTGTAAAGGACTTCCTCAAATTTCCTCTTCTTCTTGAAACATTTTACGGTTAATTCAACACTGTTGGGCTAGTCCTTTTCTCTATTAAAGTAACTAACTTCCTCTTTTCCTGGCATCATAATTTGTGTCTGCATCTTATTTATGTCATAGTCCTCCTGCCCATCCACCCCATTTTAAATAGTCCAGGAACTCCTTGAAGTTATGGACTGAAACTTGTGCACTTATGTACCCCATAAAATACCTAACGGTAGGCTTACCAGTGATGAATTCATAAAATAGTAGCTCACTAAATATTTGTTCAACATCTACAATGCATCTGGTACCATACTTGGAACTGAAAATACAGAAAATTCTAAGAGGCACATAATTTCTTTTTTTAAGGAGGAAAGGTTTATTTGGCTTATAGTTCATAGAGGTTTCAGTCTATGAGGCACGTGTTTTCTGAGATCTTCGGCCTTATGTTCTAGTGAGAAAGAATAATAAACACTGTTGAGTGTGGAAAGTATGATCACAGGTAGATTCAGTGTACTCTGTAAGCACATAAGAGAGAAATACCTAAACTATTAAGAACATATTTGCTAAAGTGAAATGAAAAAGTTGAGACTACTATACTGAATTCTAATAATCCTCTTGGTAATTCTCTTCATATAGATAACCATTTTCTCAAAAGCCAATTTTATTTTAGAATTCTCACTAGATACACACTTTAGTAAGCCAAGGAAAAGTAAACCTAATGCTGCAAGAAGTGCCTGCAATTAGTGTGAGCCTAAAGAGATGTGCGCATATATATGTGTGGCACCCGCATCATTATGACATGCATAATAAACAGTGGTGGATAGAAGACAGTGTACTTTTTATCCTGATTCTTATCAACACACATGGAAAATGTAAGAACTCCTTTTTAATTATTTACATTTTTCACCTGTCTCTGGATCTCATTGTATTAAAAATACTTTCACACAGCAAAAGAAACCACCGAATGAGGAAACAATATAAAGAACGGGGAAAAAATTTCACCAGCTATTCCCCAGACAAAGAGATAATATCTAGAATATTTAAAGAACTCAAAAACATTGAACCCCCCAAACTTAAAGACTCAATCCAAAAATGGACCTCTGAAACGAATAAATACTTCTCAGCTGAACAAGTACAAACAGCAAATAAATATATGAAAAAATATTCAGAGTCACTGGTCATTCTAGAAATGCAAGTTAAAACAACAGATTTCATCTCACTTCAGAAAGAACAGTTATTAACAAGAAATCAGCCAAAACCAAATTCTGGTGAGGGTGTAGGGAAAAAGGAACCCTTCTCCACTGTTGGTGGGAATGTAAATTGGTACAACCAATATGGAATTCAGTGTGGACTTTCCTCAAAAAGCTAAAATTAGAGGTTCCATTTGACCCTACTCTTCCCCTTCTCCGTATCTTCCCGAAAGAGTTAAAAACATCATACCATAGTGATATATGCACACTCAAGTTTATAGCAGCATAATTTGTAGCAGCTAAATCTTGGGAATAGCCTAAACACCCATCAAACAAGGAATGGATAAAGATGTGTTTTACACGTGCAATGAAGTACTACTCTGCCATAAAGATGGATAAACTTGAGACACTTCTAGGTAAATGGATGCACCTTTACATCATATTCTTGTGACATAAATCAGACACACATGCTTAAATATTACATCGTTTGTCCTGTGTGAGAAAGCAAAAGGTTAAATAAGGACCAAAATAGATGATAGATATTGTGAAGTAGGAAGAAAATGTTCAAACGGGAAGGGGAACAAGAGAAGCGGGAGGGGGAAAGGAAAGAAGGGAAAGAAAATAATAGAAGGGGCAAAAATGAAAACAAACCTTTTGTGAAGCAGGAGGGGAAGAAAAATTGAAAGGAGGGGAGGGGGATGACAAAGAAGGAAGAATCAAGATATATCATGTACAGGTACAAATTCCTTATGATGTGATCATTATGAATATCTGAAATGCACCATTAAATTAATTTAAAAAGTAGAAGTAAATTAAAAATTTAGAGCCAATTTTTCTGATAAACCTGTTCACAAGCTTCATCCCTTTAGATTGGTGACTGCATGGCAAAGACCAAATAATTTGCAAAATGTTTTCCTAGCTATTTCTGTTAGAGAATTCACCATTTCTGTCCTACTGAATATTTCATTAGATCTTTTTTATTACAAAAAAGGATGTTCTACCTGTATGCCACCTTCAGTCAGGCTTTCACCTAATTTTAGCTTCTATATCTTCTATGATTCTCTTGTAGGCCAGTTTCATGAAGGGAGGAAACGCCTATACGTGGTTAGACAAAGTTAATTATCACAAACATTGCCATTTTGCCAGTAAGTTCTTTCACTTACCTAAGTCTAAATGTCTTTTTTGAGCTCTGAAACCATATTTCTCTTCAGTTAACTTTTTCTCTGCTCTAAAAAATATCCTATTATTTACTTGGAGGCAGTAGAAAGATCCTTACCTGGCCTCACGTTACCAGTGAATACTCCTTGGTGATATTGCCTTTCCTTAGATACCCTTTTTTGCAATTAGTCTGTATTCTGGAGAACAGTACACATTAATTGGTATTGGGGATGAATGTCTCTAGAGGGTATTCAAATATTTATTGAATATTAAGAAATACTTTAGCCATTACACACTTCCCTGCCCCTCCCACCTATGAAAATATTAGATTGTTTGTTCGTTGCACAGGTTCTACTTCCTAGGGTTTTGTTCTTAGCCACATGATTTATAGGTGTCTATTTTTACACTTCCTTGTTTTTAGACTGGATCTCTTAAAGTTGTTCTTAGGCTAACTGAAGTGCCTAATGAAAAATGCATATTCCAGGATGAACTGAATCTTAATTGACAAAGCGTGGAGCAAAAGATTTACATTTTAACAAACTTTGCGTAGAACCAAATCTGAAAGCCTTCAGATTTAAAACTCTTCCTTAACTGATAAAGGGCAATGCCATAAATTCCAAAGATAGAGTTCTTACAGGCATACACTCTGCTTTCCTATTTTCATTACCTATGTTCTTGATTACCCCTCAATTTAAATTCCTCTATCTCATCTGTATGCACAGAAGTCCTACCTATCCTTCAAGATCAATATCGTGGGGCTGGGGATTTAGCTCAGCGGCAAAGCGCCTGCCTGGCAAGTGCAAGGTCGTGAGTTCGGTTCCCGGTACCGGAGAAAAGCCAAAAACAAACAAAATTAATAAAAAAAAAAGATCAATATCGTAAAAGTGCTACCTTATCCATAAAAGCTTACATTATCACTTACCTGATTGTAATCATATCCACTTGTGAGCTCTGCAATATTATTTATACCAGAAAAATGTGTCTTCCTAACTCATCCCACAACATGGTGAACTCCTTGCCAACAAAGGCTGTATTCCTCCATCACCAAAATGCCCGGTGGTTTGCATGTAACAGGAACTCTATCATATTGGATTAAGTTTATTGAGAATGTAGATCAGAGCCAAATAAAATAAGAATATCCATTTATGTCTCCTAAATTCCACCTTCTTTTGTGACTAATTTGAAAAAAAAATCTATTTTATTAACTGCTGTCTAACTTGAAATTCATACTGAATCTAAAATTTTCTTTATTTCAACAAAGTTAAACTACTAGTGAAGGTATTAAATCATTTTTGGCAGTACTGAGAATTGAACCCAAGGCCTTTTCTCTGAGCTGCATCCTCAGCCTTTTTTATTGTTTTGTTTTGAGACAGGGTCTCTCTAAATTACTAAATTGTCCAAGTTGGACTCAAACTTATAGTTCTCCTGCCTTAGTCTCCCAGAATGCTGGGATTACAGGCATGTGCCCCCATGCACAGTTTAAATCACCATTGATAACTACTACAAAACAACAAGAAGACACTTTCAAAATACATGTAGCAAATATTTGGCTGTTGATGTCTCCTATTTTTACCACTCTAGATGTGTTTCCAACATTCTTCTCAGAAGACAAGTCATTATTTTACAAAATTCCATTATATACATTGAATTTCAGATATTTTTACTTTGTGGAAGTGATGAGTAGGTCACAAATTATGTTACAGAGAGAAAACTGTATGTTTTTGTATTCTCAGTGCTGAAATGGCTGCGAGGATTTTCCTGCCATTTTCTGAATATTCACCTTCTGTCTCACACCAGACCTGAACATTTGGACAAGAAAGGAGATTTTTAAAGGAAAGTTATGAGCTTCGATGCCTATGTAAAATAAACTAAATTTCAAGTTAATAAGATCCTCTGGCCCTTTTCACTTTTGTGCTGTCTTTTTTGCAATTTTCTCTTTGAGACTATGCCCTATCTATTGCTCCACTGGATTAACACCCTGTGAAAGTAGACCAGCCTTACAGGATCTCATAGAAAGGCTAAGGGTGGAATAGATAATACAACCAGTTCCCAGGGCTTCATTTCAGAGCTGATTATGATTTGGGGTATAGGTGATTACCCAATAGAGTGACTTTGAGGGAGAAAATGAGGAATACAATCATTATGTACTGTAAACATATACTAATAAAAATTTTAAAATGAAAAGAAAAAAAGAAGAAATAATTATTCTCCACTTGTTGGCAAGACCCAAATTTCCTTTATTAAAGACAAACCTTTTCCTCTAGAGAGAAAGCTTTAAAAGAAATACCAGACTTCCACCTTTAAGCGTTAGGTCCAAGGACTTAAATCTGGCAGCCTTTCTCAGGGAATGCCAGTACCTCACATGAGCTCAGAAATTATGAAACATGTGTAGCAGATCCCAGACCTTTTGCAAATATTTGCTTTTGTAACCTATATACTGAATCAGCTTTTTCTGGTGTTTGTTCTTTGTAGATTTTTCTTCCAGGGCTATTTTTGTTTTATTTTTATTTGGAGGTTATTTTTTCTATACTATGTTAACCAAAATCTATAGCATTTTTAAAAATAGGAGAAAATATAAAAACCTCTAAATAGATGCTGAGGTCTTCAGAAACTTCAGAAAAAAGTCAATACAAAATGATTTAAATTTTATCATTTTGAATATTAAAATACAAATGACAAAACAATTATTTAATTATCTGTAATTATTCTTAAAATTGCTCTTGGAAAACTCCTTACTGCAAGAGCTAGGCAATTAATATAAACTATGAAAATCTACTTGTATTCTAAAAATATATAATAAATTCTGTCCCTGGATCATGCTTTAATGGTTTCTCAGAGGAAAGGGCAGGACACTGAATATGGCTATCTCAGATTATTGAATTCAAGCCTTCCCTCATGGCATTACTTTTGCTAGATCTATCACACTTTTCTGGATCCTGGTGGTGTCCTTTCTGATATTCCAGCTGTACAGTATTCTAGTTGGTTACTTTTCAATTTTATACCATATTTTTATCCTTTGAGAGTAAACCCTGTCAAATAAACAAGACTTTGGAAGAGTGGGCTTTGTATCTCACTTCAGAAAATAAATTTCTAAAATACTTGAGCAATGAGCACATGACTGAAATGTGTATTGTGGCCTTACAGTTTTCCTTACAGTAGCATAATCTTCCCAATTAGTAAGAGAAAGCCAAATGTTATACTAGTTCTTGGTTCTCAGAGTCACCTTTCTCGTTCCTGAAACTGAAATTTCAGTAAAATGATGATGGCTGCATTCCTCAACTGATCTTCTAACAGTAACAGCAGTTCTGTGCTTGGCACATGCCCCCCAGCTTAGATGGAAGTACAGAATGTTGCACTTCATTGCTAACGAATTTTCTACCAAGTCTCTTCTTTCTTCGTAAGGTCACACATTTAAAAGCAGAACTATAATTGTAAAGCATTAGTGGGTAGGTATCTGTTGTCCTAGAGCCATCTCAAAAAAAAGCTGAAGGATAAAGTGGGAAGACTCCTACATTAACTCCCAAAACTGCTGTGGCAAATCTATTGTCTTTTGTACTCATACTCTGAAAAACCATGTGATGCCATATTCCCTTGGGGGGAGGTTTCTGTTTCAAGTCTGGAATAAGTAGGCCTCAGGTATGAAACATTAAAAACTGTTTAGATTCTCATCAGAACTGTTCTCACATATGTCTGAGATGTTACTGCATATATTGATTGAAAGGAGATAGTGAAAATTGAGTCAAAGACACTTTCCTATAGCTCTCTTTCCTCTTCCTACAGCAATCTCTGAAGTAGTAAATTCACTGACCCAGTAGTTTTACTGTCCTCCAGGACAGGCATGCAATATCCTGAAGGATCATAGACCTCATCCCCAGTCTACTGGGATCAGGCCAGGCCATTGAGCTTCATGCATAATCGACATTTGCCTGGAATTTTGCATACTTATGTTCATAATGTTGTGCTAATAAAATAATCTTTCACTCAGTGACATTATTTATTTCTGGTGACTCCTTATTTCATTGGAAGGGAAGGAAATACAACTGAAAATTATGCTCTAATGAGGCCTACCAGACCAGTGTTGTGTACTACTATACTTCTGGCTTTAAAAACAAAGAAGCACACTTGTTCCACCTTTCTCGCCACTTTCTGGGACAGATCTGCCTCAATCAATTCAAACTCTTTACCTTTCATGGTCATTTTTACTTTGAACATTCAGAAGTTGCATGTTGCCAGATCCAGTAAATAAAGTGGCAAAGAACATACAACATAATGTTTTTATAAGCCTGGTTTTTGGTTGGATGACATTTACCTTATTTACCTTATTTTGAAACGTACCTCACAAAAACTTGGGGGGAGACTTCCAGAACTGCATCAGAGGGTGGCAAAATGATGGGAGAGATGTGTGCAAGGTAGTGGAGGGTGGTACTGTGGTGGGGATTGATGGCAATGTTTCTTTTACTGTAATAAATTTTTAAAATTAGCAAAACTATATCTAGTCTTTTCTTGAAGTCTATAAAGTTGAAAACTGTCTAAAAAGATTAAAAAATATCTTCTTCCCAAATGTTTGCAGGTGTTTCTTAAAGAAAGACTATGAACTTCTTTTGAGGGTTAGCTTAAAGAACACAGTGGTGTTTCCTTCATAAAATGCATAAGAAGAAAAGAAATATGTCTAATGGCAAATGCAAACTTTTTGTATATTTTCAGCATAGCATCAGTAACACTCAGAAATATTTCAGAAAAATGAACATTCATATTTTATTTGTTTACATTTTAATATGAGCACTATCCCTACTTCATTTTTAATATGCTAAATAGCATGACTTGATAATTTTAGACTGAGATATTGCTGCAAGTTTCTTTATCAGATACAGAGTGATGCATCTCATGTACTTTTGCAAAGTCCTTCAAATGTCCACATTGCAAAGGCCTAAAAATCCAACACTCAAAGTCCCACTCTCTCATTCTGGCCTGATGACTTTTTATACCCTTCCAAAATGCCAGAGGTTTCCACCATGCCAGGCTTTCCTAGTACAGAGTATGCATCTTAATGTCTCTGTCACTGACTTTAGTTTACATGTCCTTAAGTTCTAGTTTTTCAACTCTATCTTCTCACCTTGATTGGGAAGAAATTTCTTTGAAGGAGAATTTTAATATTCTCATTTCCTTCTCTAAGTTTTCTTTGTCATTCGAATTGGAACTAGGTCTCTTTTCTTTGAATTCCCACATCAAGTGTTTTGTGGCTGTATTATAGCCTGATATGTTTTATCCTGTCTGATGCTATTTTTAAGCGTCATTAAAATCACAGATGATAAACTCCTTGAGAGTGAGAACTCTCTCCTACTCATCTCTGTGTCTCCTATAGTGCTTACAATATTTTACTATCCGTAGGCCTGTAGAAAATGTCTGCTGAAGAGATAATACAAATGCCCATGCACATATATGAAATAACTATTAATTATCCAGTTGTGAGTAATCTGTACAATGTGGCATCTAAATACCATTTAAATTATAAAATTTTTTAAATGTAGTATTTTTAGCTATCATTTTAAACTTTGTTTTTTTATCTTAAAAATAAAAGAAGGAAAACATATTAACAGACAGACATCCATTTACAAAATAGCATAAGAATAATACAAACAAAACAGAGTTACAGACATATGTAGGAAATTAACCATGGTTGTTGTATTACTTATTGATAACTTCAAAGTGGTTTGATCCTAGACACTCGAAAACTTCTGGAGTTCACAAAAGCCACCTCCTTGACCACTTTTCAATTTATTGAGAAGAGAATTCAAATTTTTATCTTTACAGGCTTGTACTCAATCCCTCCATTTTCCTCTAACCGGGAAATATGCCCATCCTTATCGGTGACCGAACTGATTAGGAATTCCAACATAGTTTCTCAAATATAATTACATGTTTACTTAAGTGTTTGGGAAGCAAGCAAAAGCTTCAGTACAAAGCAAACAAAACACCAAAAACACCTCTTTCACACCAATCGTGGCTCCTCAAGCCCAATGTACATTTATAACTTTTTAAAAAGTCAATCAACTAGAAATGTACCATCTTTATCTGCAAGCCATGAGCTAAGTCAAAGCATAAAACTCAAAACACACACTCCTTGTCCTTAAAAAAACCCTCAACTTTCGAAAATATATTTTGAAGCAGCCACATTGTATTATGATCAAAGAAAGTAAAAATGAAAGCAAATCAGATTTAGAAAATCACTTCCTCAGTCTGGGGATGTAGCTAAGCGGCACAGCACCTGCCTGGCAAGCGAGAGGCCCTGAATTCGATTCCTGGAACAACAACAAAAGAACACAATCACCTCCTCTTCATTCACATGCACCAAAAAGGAGAGGTGCACATTTCTTTGAGGCAATTCTGTGTTATTTTTACTTTCTGGGCCATAACTTGGTGCCTTCATGTGGCAGAAATTGACAAGTCCGTGCCCTATCACAGCCGGGGGAATCACCGGGTACCCAAAGTATGTTGAATAGCCACTGATCCCCAAGACTTGCAGTTGAGAAAAAATAATATATTTCCTAATTAAATGTACCTATTGACTTTCTTGCTTTTATCTCTGCCATAAGCCAATTGCCCACCTCTCCATAGCATTATCCACTCTGAGTATAAGAATGGATTCCTGGGCACTGGTAAGACTTTAGAGTTAGGTTAGGATGGGTGTAGAAGTAACTTGGGCATTGGCTTGCTATTATTTGTTGTCTTCCAATAAATGCACGTTGTAAAAAATTAAAGAAAATGTCTTTTAATGCAAAACTGGGGACAAGAAATATTTTTTAATGAAAAGCATTAGGTGCAATATTTGTGTATTGATGACTCCATCACTGGAGTGAAACTTAAGCAACTAGCTGCATCTTGAGCCTCATTAAGGTGGAGTTCATAGAATCTTTCATCTTTTGTCTTTGTAAAATTTTAACAAATATTAGAGTAATGATATTTACCACTAAGCCATGGCAAATAATTTTAATTCAAATGCCTCTACTGTACTTACTAAACTAAGTAGATGTCACATGCAAAGAAATGGGAAACAACTCTGCCAATTAAGAAGGCTGTTTACTTCTGTGATTATATCAGTGGCAGTGTAACATTACACAGTTATGAGAATTCTGATTATTTTCGTTTTAAAATGACACCAAATGGTAATGTCACCATTTCTATCATTTGTTCAGTGATTTATTTACCTACTTTCTTATCTAACCATTGGTCATTAAGATAAGCCCTCACAGATGTGATCGGAGGAAGATAAAACAAATTATAAGAGTAATGTTACCTAAAACTGAGAGGTTTTTCTTTCCTTGTTCTTCCTAACATTGGAAATATCACTGATAACACTAATATCTCAATATTTCAACTTCAACGTCTTCTTTAATTTTTCTCCTTTCTGTTCTCTGTTACTGGATTCATCTGACACATCCTGCAAAACTGTTCTGACTTACCTTGCATTGCTTTATTCTTAGCTCTATCTACCTGATTTATTGAATTCTTAACAGTGTCTTCAAACTATTCTATTTCTAATACTTACACATCACACCAAGCTAGTCATCTGGGAAAAGTGACCCAAGAAATGAAATGCCTCACATCAAACACACACACACACACACACACACATGCACACACAACCACTCTACCCCATCAATACCTTGAAACTTTTAAAACATGAGATTACCCACAATGGTAATATTTTCTTTAAAGAACTATCACAGAACAAAAACAGAATGTGTTTGTCTCTTCTAATCTGTGACTTTAAAACCACACATGTTTATTCCAACTATACTCCTATTGCTCAGAAAATTTTGGGACTTTTCCTTTAGCATTACATCCAAAACTTGCATCGTATTCTTTAGTAAACTTTTTTTTGTCTTTTAATGGTATTTGAAATTTTAGAAAAACAAATCACTACTCAAAGCTAAGTCTGAACAATGCAGTTAGAGATAAAACAGAAAAATTTCATTTTGGGGCAATAGCAAATTATAGACATAGTATTTTAAAATTAATTCTATCATTGGCTCAAACCAGTTGTAAAGATAATTTCAAAGAAAAAATTATGTGAATAATTGGGGAAACATAATATCATTGGGATGAACATATAATTTTGCAAAGTGACCATTTCTAAAGTGACAGTTCTTTAAAATTATACAATGTGATGAATTTATTTAAGTTATTCATAATGAAAGCAAATTGGTATACTGATGAGTATTACAGCGAGAATGAAAAGTCATGAATTTGTGTTCTGCTTCACCTATTGATATTCTTGTGATCATAATTTCTCTGGATTCTCATTTCTTTGAAATGAGTAGGTTAAACCACCTACTTTTAAAGATAGGTAAAGATAGGTAACTTTTAAAGATAATTCTAGCTTCTCTCTTTGTCTCTTTGTCTGTCTCTCTCTCTCTCTTTCCCCATCTATCTCTGTCTGTCTCTGTCCAGCTAGAGGCTGTGCCTTGATGAGGGATTTTCATGTCTATTAATAAATGAAAAATTCATTTGGATTGTTTCAGTTAATTTGAATTTCCTATCAAAGAGGAATACTAATATAATATGACTAAATACTTGCTGCTAATATGTCCAAAAGAGGTCTACCACTTCATCTGAGACAATAGATACTTATTTTTGACAATGGAAATATGCCATCAGTTGTGTAAGTTACTGAATTTATTATGAGCCACTAATATATGAGTGTCAGCAATGTAATATGCATCGGGCAGGTGCCTGATTATTTTTATCTATTTGTCTCATTGAGCTATCAACTATACTCAGCCTGATGACTACAGGAAAAGACTCAAGTGATCATGATCAGAGGGTCTTTCCTTTTTTATGAGAAGATACAATTAGAAGGAAAGTGTTAAGTGCCTTGTAGATGCCCATGAACCCTTACATTAAATACATAGGTTAGACATCCACATTTCATATACATAAGATAAGTGCAGTACAGAATTTGTATTTGCTTATGAAAACATTGACATCCTGATTAGGGATGTAACCTAATGTCACTGTGGTTAAGGTCATTTTCCTTCACGTTTAAGTGCATTATGTTTATATGCTTTCCTTCATGTTTAAGTGTATTATGCTTATGAGTATTATGCTCATAATTTTTAAATTTTAACTGCACTGAAACACCAGATGTGATTTCTAATGATGATTAGGTATCTAGGCTAGTGTTTGGGTAACACACTTCTCAAAACAACATACAGGAAAAAAATTTAAAAACATTATAAATACTCCTCATTCTGAAATTTGCTTCTTCCAAATCTGTTCCCAACTGGAGACTTGTCAATTAATAAATAAAAATTTTCCTAACATTCATATGATTCACATACCTCTACTATAATTTTCCTTCTCAACAAATAGCCAATGTATACTGCATGAGATACACATAACCCAAAATGCCCAACATTGAAGCCATTTACACACTCTGTGTATAGACATATTTAAAATGGAAATAAAGGATGGGTACCCAGGTTCCCTACTTCCCTTATGAAGCCTAAAACGTAAGTCAAAGAGCTCATTAAACAAGACAAATAGTAAGCTAAGCTGAGTGAGGCACTTCCCTTGTGTACAACAAGACTTAAAGTGTTGCCAAAACCCTCGGTAACAAAAGCAAGTAGTATTAAAATGAAATATTCTCACCAAATCAAAAGTAATGCAAATATTCGTGATGATTGTTCATGGATTCTTTTCCCACACCTAAAAAAAATCAAAATAATGAAGTTAGAATTAGTATACCTAGTCATTCTCTTTGCCTCAGGCTCCAAAATGTCTCAGTAGGGCATTATTTTAAAATGCTATATTTTACCAAATGCTTCAGAGATCATAGCCTTTCATGTTCTGTAAGATTGCATATCTTGATTGCTTGAACCTGACCATTACTTAGTTATCTACTCGGTGGACCAGCAAATGTGTAACAGGTGGCTAGTGGAGCCTCTCAGTACCTGACCAGGGACCACATGGTGAAAGACTTTTCTTTCAGAAAGGATACTGGAACAGAAGTGAAGACCATAATTAAATATGTACTGTTTTTTTCCAGGGCTGGTGGAACTTGTTAATCAGAACAATAGGGTCTCCTGGGGAAACAGAGGGGAATCTGACTGGATTAATTACTGTCTGAAAGAACTTAGAGAAGCAGTGACCAAGAGCAGAGCAGAGGGCCAGGGATGTAGCTCAGTGGCACAGTGTCTGCCCTGCAAGCACAAAGTCCTGAGTTTGATTCCCGGTACAAATATATATATATATATATATGCAAAAGACTGTATAGAGAAAATCATACTTAGCCCTTAGTGTTGGAGAAGGCCAATAAGTAGGAATCATTTTACCTTCCAACATATCTTTTTTACCTGGAAACCTTTGGGAAATATGTGAGAAAGGTGGGAATGTCAGTGGCAAGGTTCACAAGTCACTCTGGTCACAGGGAACTCTTAATCATGATGAGTCATCCTAGAAAAATCCCACAAGCTCTAATCACAACATGGAGAGCAAAAGCTTTCTTTTTCTTGGTCAGCAGTATTTTCTGAGTAGTCATATCTATAGCTGTTTCATGGAATAATACACATGGAAAGAGACATTGCTGTTCTTTCATTGTTAGCACAGCTGTTTCTAGGAGGTAAATTGATTTCTATGCAAAGCTATCTTAAATGTCCTCTTGCAATGCTTGTAGGAAACTTCTGATGGGGGTGGGCAAGATTTAAGGGTACCAAAAACTATCCCCTATCTTTCCCTGGTCCACTTAATGATCTCTTTCCCAGGCTTGCTAACTTGACTGAAATGTTTCATTATAAATTTAGTCCTTTTAAGGAATCTCCTTTTTAATTCCTCCTTTTAAGGAAATGTTTCATTATAAATTTAGTTCCTTTTAAGGAATCTCCTAGTAAAATGAGAATGTTACACAAAGAAATTACACCTTAGCCTAGCACTGTAATAAATTAGAATGAGCTAGATTTCACTTTACAAAGTCAAGAAGATAAAATATAAAGACAACTGAAAGAAGGAATTAAAAGAACATAGAAGGACAGTCTTAGATGCACCTGTAATAGGGTTATCTATGAAGGCATATTGCATTATAACTGCTGAGAAAAGTTCCTATAAAGAGGAGAAGCAGGAAAGATCAAGCAAATAGCTTCCCACCACACACTGAAAGTCCCTTCGGAAGCCCCAGCATCCAAAGTCATCTGTCATGAGACTCCAGTTAGTTCATTTAACATGGTTCTCATCTGCAAGCTCTTCCTTTCTAAGAGACTTGGGTTCAAATGCCAGGTTCACTTTCATATGTGTAGTTTTGAAAGAGTTGTTTTGTTTGCTGCTCCCTATCTTCACCTCTTCCTTTTCCTCTTCCACTTGATCTCACCTCTTCAATATACTTATCTTGGAAAATGAATACATAAATGGTGCCTACTCCTAGTGTACACCATTAATATTACATGAGATATCTCAAATAAAATCCAGAAAGTCTGGGCTTGGCACATAAGAGGTGCTCAATGCATATTATTTGTCCTATTCTTCTTGCCTCTGGCACCCTGTAAATAAGATACTAGGCACACAGAAACTTCTCAATGAATGCCTTAAAAAGACATGAGGAAGCAAAAATAATGGTGAAAATAAAATACACTGAAGTTGTTTTTAAATTATTTGTATTTGAAAGAGGGTAACAATGCCAGAGAAACACATCTGAGAAGAGGTGAGCAAACAAAATATATTCTGAGAAGCCCCAGAATCCAAAGTCATCTGTCATAAGAACTCGGAAAGTAAACCCAGGCAAAAAAATTACAAACTTATGCATTCTGATTCCTGTGATAGTTCTTATGTGTAAAAGCAGAAGTAGAACGGCTCAAACACCTCCTGAGTGGGGCAAGTAAATGAAGACAAATATAAATTAATAGTCCACAGGGACAAGGCTTAGTGACTGAGTGGGGTCACAGATTAATTATAAACACTAGACAAATTCAGCTGGATAGAAACATATTTGATTGAAATAGTGAATATTTTTATGCACTTTTTTGCAATAATTTCATTTATTATATTTTCATGACAATAGACAAGATATCAAATAATGCATTCTGGTTGGCTTGGGGAATCACTTCATTTTCTAGAGTACAGTAATATACCTAAAATATCCTGTTTTATTTGCTATCATTTTTTATCTCCTGAGAGAGGTCACATGGGCTGAGAAAACAGGGTGCATGGGGAAGACCATTAATTAGTTATAGATATAGGACATGGATCTTCTAGTCCTGGACTTAACACCATTTAACGGTGTGACTTCGAGAATGTCCCAAATTCTATCTATCTCTGGGCTTCAATCTTTTATATGTAAATAGGGGAGTTGGGCTAAATTATCCCTAAGGTTACTTTGAGCTCTGACAGTCTAAGCCTAGTAGAAAGTTTGATTTGGCAGATAGGGCCAATTTAACATAAAAGTTGGGAATGATATGAATAAATCCTGTGTCCTTCCCTCTCAAAATTTCACCACTTGAGGCCTAGCTGAGAATCCTCACATCTAAACCCATATAGCCTGGACTCTATACAATCCAAGACCCATAGATTTAACACATAGATTTGTTCTTGTCATGAACTATTCTCCATCAAAACATCCCTTAGAATGAGAGGTTCCTTTTAAGTTCAAAACCAATATAGTTTGGTAAATAGATTTAAGCTAATGAATTCATGATAGAAATAGAAAATATTATCCAAAACCTTCCCAGGGAGCATATAGGTATTTCCCCAGCAGCTTTCTTCAAATATTCATGGACAACATTGTAAATCCAGACCAAAAAAAGAGCATATGATCATGGAAGGAAAGTAGAGAAGAGGGTATAGATAGCTTAAACTCCTCACATTATATACTGAAGCCTCCTCAACAGCCTATATACGTGACAAATCAATAAGTTCAGTCAGCATATATATATTGAGCACCTAGAAAAGCATGCAGTTTCCATTAATAAACCTCATCAGGACATTAACAACTATTCTATGAGATCTATAATAATTTCTCACTTGTTAAAATTTATTGACTATTTTGAATAAAAATGGGCCTTGTCGGCATTATATAAATCATTGTTAATAATCTGTTAATCTCTATCTATGAATTAACTTTTACAAGACAGGAAACAAAGTCCCAGGAAAAGTATGGAACACATCCTGAGTTGCAAAGCAAATTAATAACAGACTTAGGACCAGAACCTAAGTTTTAATTCAAAATTCTTGTGTTCTTTTATTTATATCACATTTTCTCCCCAGTATACATTCTATAATGAGCATATGGATTTGTTTCTTTCCCTCATGTAGTCACACTATTTAAATGTAAGCTTCATGTTGTTAGATGTTATCAATTGTGTAAATCAGATACTAAGTACAAATCACCAGAAACAGTTTTCCTTTTGTTTTTCTTTCTGCAGTGGCATGGAAAACAATATTCTTTAATATGTGCAGAAGAAAATACCACCTATTCTTCTCTTCATCTCTCTCATTAACTTCCCAGCCCCATATAGAAATAAAAATGTACAAACACTTTTTACATTGTGTTCATCCATTTCACCTGGCAATCAAGAGTGGAAAGGAGAAGTAACTAAATGAGACAATTTTTTCCCACTCTGACCCCTTTCTTGCTGGTACAGTTTGCTAAAATATCAAGCTAGAATGAAGGAATTGAGTTATGACTAAGACATTGTTACAAATTAAGTCACCATGCTAGATGTCACAGGAGGTAAGAAAATGACATAGCCCTTTCACTCTAAACTTAGCAATGACCAACAGCAGATAAAATGATAAATTTAGAGATATAATGGTAAGCCATACAGAAAGTTATTTAGGGTATAGACCCAAAATAGATCGTAAGTTAGTTGGGCTCTTCCATACACCATTTCTAAAAGCAGCGATGTCACTGACCTATAACACTTATGCTTCTTTTTTGTACTTATTCAGTTGCAAAACTTCTACTTTGCTTTTCATTAACATTTCAAGCTGCATACTTCACCAAGGATAATGCTGTCACATGCTAACAGAAATTTGTCAGGTGAAAGACAGATGAAACTCAACTTTCCCAATGTGTTTCCAATCCAGTATCACATATTACGCCACAAATTGTAGAGAGGAACTCCGATGAATGAAATGTAAAGTGCCCATTCAGCATCAGTATGATGATCTGTACTCTTGAAAGAAACGTATATTTAATCGCACTATTTTCGCAGATAGAAAAATGAGGAAGTTAGTTTCCTGTGCACATTTGTATCTCTACTCAGCCACAAAGGATCATGATTTACAATTCAAGTTTGAGAGTCAATGTCGCTAAAAGCATAATTTACAACAAAGTCTATAAATTTATGTGCCAAGATTTTTCTTCTATTTCCTGTTGGATGGGAAACATAGACATGGGAGTGTAAGTGCATGCACAGCAGGAAACCATGCTCGAGAATAATTGACATTGTCAGAAGAAAGACTGACCTAAAACCTTGTTCTTGTATTTGTGTTATTTAACTCAGAATTCTAAGCTGATTGAATTAGACAGTTACTACTCTGAGCTCTTAAATTCAGGTAATGTGAAATGCAGTTAATTCTCCAGTTAATTCTCTCTGTAACATAGTCACAGATTAAGCTCTGAATCTGAGCCAGACATCATGTAAATTCTTGGTAATAAGAAAGATTTCACCAATAAATACAAACACAGCTCTACTATTCCTTCTATTGGTTAACATGTA